GGTTGGAGGCCAATCGCTAGTAGGTTGGAGGCCATCGCTAGCAGGTTTGAGGCCATCGCTAGCAGGTTGGAGGCCATCGCTATTAGGTTGGAGGCCATCGCTATTGGGGTTGGAGGCCATCGCTAGTGGGTTGGAGGCCATTGCTATTAGGTTGGAGGCCATCGCCATAAGGTTGGAGGCCATAGCTATTAGGTTCGGGGCCATCGCTATTAGGTTGTATTTCATTACTATTTGGTTGGAGGCCATCGCTATTAGGTTGGAGGCCATCGCTGTTGGTGTGGAGGCCATTCCCATTGGGTTGGAGGCCATCGCTAGGTTGGAGGCCATAGCTGTTGGGTTCGAGGCCATCGCTATTAGGTTGTATTTCATTTCTATTTGGTTGGAGGCATTTGCTGTTGGGTTTGAGGCCATCGCTATTTGTGGAGGCCATTGCTACTAGGTTGGAGGCCATCGCTATTAGGTTGGAGGCCATTGCTTCTAGGTTGGAAGCTATTAGGTTCCTTAAAGTTTCTGTAAAGTTTCCTTTAAGAGTCACTCAGGGCGGCCTGCATCAATGGCGGAGATGTCCACAGCTGCGTCCATGAGATTAGAAGCGACCGCTTCGGATTCAGAGATGAAGGTCGCCTCACACGAGCAGTTCCAGCCTCAAGGGCAGGAGATGCAGGAAGTGGAGCACCAAGACAGCCAGGATCAGGATCTGAATTTCAATGATGAGGAGATTCCACGCAGCCTGGCGAAGCATGTATGTTCTGCTTTGTTTCGCTGTTTCTCTGAACTTTGCAGAGATATTTTCGAAAACTTTTCTTTTGTATTCATTTTTGCTTTGATGGTCAAACCAAGGAGCTCCAGTCGTGGAAGATTTCATGCCTCCGGATCGGGTAGAGCTGCCAGAAGATCCTCTCAGTGCGGAGCAGGCTGATTCGCCGGTGGAAGATCCAGGTGCCTCGACTCTCCACTTTTCCAAAGAGAAGGGGCATTCTGACCTTCTGACGGGGGAATGCGAGAGGACGATTCAAACTCAGAAAAGAACCTTTGCATCGTTTGCAAGACATGTTGCCGTTGCGACTGTTATAGTGACCCGCTCGCTGCTGCTTTGGTACTCTCTTTGCAAGGGTTCACAGTTCGATCCAAGGACTTGCTGCCCGACCAAAGCGAGAGGCCCTCGTACTTTTGTTCTAAAGCCCTTGTCAACTTCACACCATTCCCACAACTGATGGTTGCAGGGACGTCGGCCAAAGCAACCTCGCGGATATGGCTTCTCACCGAAAACCAGGGTGGTCTCAGCAGGACAGAGTTGTCTTATGTAGTTACATGCATTTGCTTCTTTTCAAGTTTAGACGGTGTGGAAAGAAGTCTTTGGAACTGTGACAATTGAGCTGGCTGAGCGTCCAATGCTCTGACAGGACCCGCTAAATCTTCGAGAGAGGCCTAAGAGGGGGGTCCTTTTGGATTTTAACTTCCCATGTTTTGGCCCAGCAAACTTTTTGACTCAAGGTACATGTTGATTGGCACTTGCCGTCACATCAGTTTCTCTTTGCAACAATTGTGATGCTTGAGGCCATGCCAGAGGCAGAGGCCTAGACACTTTGAAGCGGGTAGAATCTAGAAAATGTCAACCGACATTCTTTTGTGGAAGCAACTGCTCTTATGGCTGGCTTCCAGATCCTAGCACCTTTCAGACCAGCGTCCCATGAAGCATTGTGGACAATTCCATGGAAGGGCTCCAAGCAAGTCTGTTGGATTTGGATGTTGCAAGTCCTCAGAACAGCCATAGGACGCTGCTCATCTTTAGTTTGCACTGAAGGTGCGAGCATTAATGCAGTGCATGGTCCAAAGTTGAACATGTCTTGGGCAACAGAGCAAGACTAGCATCTAGTGCACCCAAATGTGCAGCCGCAATAAATCTCGATATCGCGATCATACTCCGTTGCCTTAAGGCTGGTGATGCCATGTGATCACAGCTGTACATTAGCGCGCTGCTCACAGCGCAATGGAAGGTTTGCTAGAAGTGACCGAATTTCAATCCTCTTGAAGAGAATCAAAAGAGATGCTTTACTCGCTCTTTCAGCTCCACAATGCTCGGGCCCTTGTGGAATAAGTACCCAGGTTCGTATTGTCTGTGCTACTTGTGGACATTGTGGGCTTCGGGTCCAAGTGCCATGTAGGTAGTGTGGCCAACCGATCCACTGTGCTTGTTGCAGTGTTCGTGTTGCCTTCAGTGGCAGCAGTGCTGGGCTCGCAAGCAGATCTTGATAGCTTGTAGAGCCGCAAAGCAACCAACATGGCAAATGCGCAGGAGGCTGAGCTGAAGTGGGAGAATGACAAGGAGCACACTCCCCGCACAGAATCCTTTGCAGGCTTTGAGAAGATCGATGCAGAAGACCTTTCAAACCCGCCCCAGTCTTCTGAGTCTGAGAACCCCAAAGCCAAGCCAGGCCATACCGGGAGGCAGGACTCTCCCCGGGCAGAGTCCCATTCGATCTGTGAGCCTCTCACTGAGGACCTTCCGAGCCCACCCCAGTCTTTTGAGATCCCCAACACCAGGCCACGTCATACGGGGAGGCCTTGGCTCCAGATTTTGTTTGCTTTGATGCTTCTATTCTGTGGATATGCAGGATACTGGAAGGTGGAGAACGAGAAACAGGCTTTTTTTTTGTGGGATCTCTCCGAAAGGATGCGCAGCACAAGTGTTCATTTGGTTGGGTCCGGCGTTTCCTAGATTGTGACAAGATAGCCTTGCGGTCCCACTTGGCCTTCCACAGCGTGACAGTTGTGAATGAGACCGGCTTTGATGTGTGTGTTCATGAGTGGAGAGAATTTGGCTACTTGGTGGCGGACCTTGGAAAGGCAGGATGGCTCCATGGATACCCTGTAGACTGCCAGGCGAAGTGGTCTGACTGGGGTATGTGCTCCGCTTCGTGCGGGGGTGGTCGTCAATGTAGTCAATTCAAGATCCTGGCACCTGCCCGCTTTCGGGGCCAAGAGTGCACACACAATGATGGATCCGACAACTGCGCAGATTGCAACGCTCAGCCATGTCCGAAAGATTGTGAGTTAGGAGACTGGGAAGTGGAACCATGCAGTGCACTTTGTGGAGGTGGGACTCAGAAACGGACACGCCCAGTGGCCTCACCGAGCGAGTTTGGTGGGTTTTGTCCCATGCCAGATTCCGTGGACCGGGTCCTTGACGTTCCCTGCAACACACAAGCATGCCCAGATGAAATGCTCGAAGACTTCAGGGTGGCCGTATCACAGACAGCAGATGTCCAGGAAGAAACACACCGCCAAAGTTCAATGCTGCAGAAGACGAAGCATCACCTTTTGCATCACTTGCCAAAGATAAGTTGCACAGCCGGTATGGATTCACAACACACAGAGGCAACTGCGAGTTGCCACGAACACAACACGATTGCCAGCAAGTCACAAGGCCTTGCTCTTTTCTTGGAGAACGGCCACGATGAGTGCGAAATTGCTGCAGCAGAGTTTCACCAGCTTCGAGATGCACTGAAACACAATTTGCCACATGTAGTCAAACAGATGTGCGGTGGTGACCATGAGGGGGCCCAGAGCACAATTGAAAACCTTTTGCATCCTTTGATCAACTCCACCCTGGCACAGTTTGATCGCTGCGTAGAACCCTACAGATCCTTTGCCAGGGAAGTTGTGCCTATGAAAAGTGATCTGAGGAGTCTACATGTTAATGCAAAGGCACGACAAGAACAATCGCAGCATAGATTGAAGCAGGCGACTGCCCGCCAAGAAGGAGGATCTCTTGAATGGAATGCTCTGGCAGAGGAGATGAAAGAGACATCGCAGAAACGAGATCAGGCCTTTCAAGCTGCCCAAGCAAAAGAACAAGAGTTGGCCAAACTTCGCAAATCTACCGCAGAGGATTTGAAGGCTAAAAGGACAGAGGCTCAGGCCGCAAAGGAGCGGGCAAGGCTGGGTGTTTGGTGAATTGCTTGCCTTCCCTTGCTTGCTTGCTTGCTTGCTTGCTTGCTTGCCACTTTCTCACATCACACTTCCATGTCTACATCATTTGGACTAGATATGAAGCTTGCAACATGACCTTTAGCCACATTGTTTGGCACTTGTCACATCGTCACAAAAAGCCAGCTCCTTCGAGCTCAGAGTTAGCCTTGTTTACATCAAAACCAGGGCAGACATTGATTTTGGTAATTGACATTTCAATAGAAAAGGGTACGTTGAATTACCAGGATGTCAACAAATGCAGGCCTTGCAAGGGGAGGGTGCTGCTAAGGCTGCTGAGGTGGGTTGCTGTATTCTTTCATCCATGCTTTGGGCTCTCAGCTTCCTTTAAGTACAATTCCGCATGTGTGGTTCAAGCGCTTTGTTGCGCGTGCCAAGCATGTCCCTCCGTCGTCATTTCCTGCCTTGCATTGAGCCTTCTCTCACATTCTTTCACCCCGTCGTCAGCTGCGTCTGGCTTTCCTCCCAGTCCATTCTCAAGCTTTTCACATCTCTAGTAATTTGGCATTGAATGCCTCATGACTCATGACTTCAAGAGATTTCTTCGGAATTTTATTTTTGAATATTCTCTTGGGCAATTTAATTACGTGAGTGAAGAAGGTGCTTGTGAGATGTGGACTGTCTGAGGGAAATGACAAGATGCCCTTTTGACTTCAGAGACAGGATATTTTAGAGCTTCGCAGACCGGCGATGCCGGTTGAGCGCGTGTTCGCTATCGTGTTCTGTTTATTGTTATTGTTATTTTTATCTTTTTGGCTGTCCGTTGCCTTTGTACTTCTTGCTTGGTTATTAAGTTGATGTTTCTTTCGAATGCGTCGCACGCGTGCGCCCCGGAGACCTCATATCAAACGCGTTTGAGGCGCACGCAAAAAGAGACCGTGCAAAATCCCTCAGGCTGATGGTGGAGAGGCCTTTCTTAATGACCAAAAAGAGAGAGAAAACACTGTAAATATCAATGTTTTTTGCTGCTCGAGGCTTCAAAAGTGCCCCAAAACCATGCTATTTGCGTAGTTTTTTGTGCTTCTACGCCAGGAAGCCACGTAAATACCGATGGTTTTGAGCTATCGAGCTCTCAAAGCCACGGTATTTACGAGGTTTTCTCGAAGCACGCAATATTTTCAGCATGTCGCGAACCACGCCCCAAAAACCGTCGATGTTTACGCAATTTTTGTAACGCGGCGACATGTTTTTTTCTAGATCGAAATTTGCGAAAGCATTGTATATAATTTACAGTTTTTTGGGCCTGGGCGCAAACCGAACAAAGGCTTCAAAGCTCTCTGTAAGGCCTAAATCCAGCTCCCTTCCAGTTCCAAGTTTTTTTGTCAAATAGGCATGTTTTTTTTGACGACTTTTTCGACCTCCAAAAAGGCCTCTCCCCCACCAGGCTCAAGGATTTTGTTACATTTCTCGTTTTGCCGTTTTTGGAATCGCTCCAGGAGCAAAAACGGCTCGAAACGCAGGCGAGAGGCGAGAGCGCTATATTTTTTAAAGCTCGATCTCACAAAGCACCGTAAGGGCGGGGGGTCCCGGCATCGGGAGCACCCCTCGGTAGCTAAAGCTAGAGGCGATCAGCTACACCATACGGCACGCCCGGGCGCCGCCGACCCCGCTTATAAATCTTGAGTGTGGTAGTTGATCCACTCTAACGAAACCCCAAAAAAGCTGAAACCTCAGCCTCAAGACCCACGCAAGGCCACGGTCTGCTGAAACCTCACCCCCGCTACGCCGAAACACCCTGGCTAGAGGCTTCAACAGGTCTGGGGGCGAGCCTTGCCGCTATGTAACATCACCTTCGCAACACCATAAGAGCAGTAGGCCTGGGATGAGTGGCCTTGGGTCTCGAAGCTGCCCAAGGCTGGCAGTCGAGACCAGTAGTGGAAACCTCACCCTTTATATAGACGTTTCAACCAGTCTTGTCTAATGTCGCCTTCGGGCCTGCTACAGCCTCAGTGTTTAACGCCGCCTTCGGAACACCATAAAGGCAGCAGGCCTGGGATGAGTTTGGCGACCCGTCCATTGCAAGACCGCCTTTAAACCTCACCCTCAAAGCCCATTACAAAGCCACGCCGCACCGTAATTTAACACCCCTGGCGGGCCGAGCCTTGCCGTTGTCTAACGTCGCCTTCGGAACACCATCATGGCAGTAAGCTTGGGATGAGTGCTGACGCGCTGGGTGCTGGAGGGCGGCTTTGAGACCCAGTGCAAGGCCACAGCTACTGAAACCTCACATGACCCGGTGCAAGCCACGGCTTGCTGAAACCTCAGCCCGAAACGCACTGGCGCCAAAGGTTTCAGCAGGTCTGCGCGAGCCTTGCCACTGTCTAACGTCGCCTTCGGAACACCAAGCCTGGGATGAGCGCTGCCTCTGTGGGTGCCAGAGGGCAGCATCGGACCCAGTGCAATGCCACGCCTAGGCAGACGCCACAGCCGAGCAAAAAATTATTGTGGCATTGTTGACGGTCAGTAACCCAACCAAACATTTTGACGTCTTTGATGACTCATCGTGAATGCCTTTGCTTTTTGCATTAAAGCCATACAGTGAACCAGCATCGGCTAGCCCGGGGTTGGGGGATTCTCACTTTAGCCATTCTTGAGGGAACTGCGAATCAGTGGCGGCAGATTGTGGATTTGATAACTTGAAGTGCCAATAGAAGGGGCCATTGTGGGAAGTTCGGTTTGTGCCAATGCAGTTTGAATAGCCACACACACAAGTAAACAATCACAGCTTGGTTTGCTAGTTCCAGCGAGTGGTTTGTGGTCATGCTTGTTGTGCTTTACACAAGAGCGCGGACCTGTCCTTTGAGGCGGGAACGTTTTGAAGCCGAAGACCTCGACAATTCGATGCGAGGAAGAAATCGGGATTCATGGCGTATCAGTCGTGAAACTTGGTTGCAGCTTAGCGTTAAGCAAGTTTATTGATTGAGTTTGTTGGGGCTCACGCTGCCCACCCGGCTTGAGGAATATCGCGAGGCACAACTATATGAAGAGAGGAGTTCAGAGCTTCAAGCGGAACTTGATGCTGCCTACAATTCCTATCGTTACGAGGTTGAAAAAGACGAGAATGCTGTGCGCAGGTTTGAACAGATGTTGAAGCAGCAGGATGAGGTGTTCAAGAGTCAAAAAGAGGCACAGAAGGAGGTCGGTGCCACAATGCAACAAGAAGCTTTGGAGATGCAGGATATTTTGCATGACATGAAAGCAAACCAAAATGTGCTTGGATTGTCTGAAGGCTTGAACATGGAGAGTGCAGATGAAGGTGCCAGAAACTGGAAATCATCTATCGTTCGGCTCAGGAGCACCGTGAAACGACTTCAGGTCTATTTGGAGACTCTTCATACGCATCTTAGCAGAGCTTCCGACAAAGCGTGTGAAGATGCAAAACATCATGTTGCGGGGATGGTCAGTGCTTATAGAACAGGCACCTCGCTCAGCACTGGAAACAGCAAGAGTGAGAGGACTTCAGAAGAGCAGGTGAAGGGCTGACTTTTGGTCCATTTCGCTGGCCATTTTGTAGCAGGCCAGCTTTAGGCTTTCAAGCCACAGCTCAATGCCACACATCTAGTAGTTTGTGTTGGCAACTGCAAATGCCCAGTCGCTTGGGTAGAGAGAGCACTTTGCTCTGACACATTGTCGACAGCATTGCGGTGAAAAGTTTAGTATGGAGTTTCACTGCACAATGGGCAATCCAGAACAAAAGAGCAGATGTCACATATACAATTGGTTTGCTCAGCTTCTCTTGCAGCTACAGCATTCGTTAGACCAGCAGTGACCAAGTAGATCACTGAAAAAACTGGTTTGCTGGGAGATCGCAGGCACTGACTTCATTCCTCTCGACTGATTGGTCCGAACTGTCCTGACAACTCTTCTCACAACTGACCCGACACTTGGCACCTTGTGTTGGAGCCATGGCCGGCATGGCAGGCGTTCGCTTGCGGGGCTTGCAGGTGCTTTTCATGCTTTAAAAGGGCAGAACATATCATCATTATCCATCATTTCATTTGCCTTGAACGGCTTCCAATGCTTCCAACGTCCAGCCCCACAAAATCCTTTGAACATTTGCTGAGCGAGTTACAATGAGTTGCACGGATCTATGGTAGGCAACACACTTAAACGGTCTCCTTGCGGTTGCGCACTTAGACTCATGCTCTGGAATGGCCTACTCAGCTCCAACGCAAGAGTGCCCCGCTGGCAGGACGCCTGCAACAATATCAAACATATTAGCCATGCAGATTGATTTGTATTTGTAAAGCACAGATCTATACAGCGTATACATTAATATATTGTTGAATCCCATGGTCAAGGTGTGCAAGGGCTTCGATGAAGACAAGGGCAGATGGGAAGTCGTCTTGGAGAATGGTCGCTTGCCGGCACTCAAAAAAGTCAATGGCAGAGTCGAAAGTCGCGCAGAAACTCTCTTGGTCAAGTTCAAGTGTCATTGATCGGACCTGTTGGTTGCTCAAAGTCCGTGAAAGATCACCAGCTTCTTTTAGGTGAAGCGAAGGCAGTGAAAAATGACAACGTCCTTCAGGCAACCCTGCGACACTTGACCTGCTTGCTCCAATTGACATTCCATTTCAGGAAGTCACTTTGCCTCAAGATCCAGTTTTTGGCAAGCAGCGTGACAACATTTTCACTCACTTGGCCTTGCCATAGGTCCTGGAGCCTGGGACAGACATTTTGATGCAAAATGGAAGTGTCGCGGCCTTGGCTTGAGAGCTATGCTGCTATGCAATTAGCAACATCTTTAATGTAATTTTGTTCCGCGTTGCAATTTTGCAAGCTTTTTTCACGGTCCTTTATCTGCTAGAAAAAATGCATCGTGATAAGGTCCTCCATGTGACGATTGGCCGCGTGAGTGTCGCATGACTTGGTTTTTGTATGTGACAGAGAATTTCTCACTTCTTGTTCCAAACATGCAATCTCAACATTCAGGGCAGTGGACATGCTACAATCAGCCACGATGTTTTGCTGTGTCTTCGCCGTGAGACTGTGCTGTGTTTTCCCAAACATTGCCTTCGATGATTTGACAACTGTGCAAGAGCGATAAGGTTCTCAACCAAATGGAGCAAGAAGACAGGGAGACATGGGAACTTCTGCAAAAGGAGGTGGACCAGTTGCGTGGCTTCAGTGCTTCAGTTACCTTGACCATTGGTTCAGCCTCAAAACGCACGGCATGTTGCATTGTGTCGTACTTAAGTTGACGCATCCCAAGCCGACTGGGCTCCGTGGTCCAACAATGTTGTGCGTGCACTCAAGGTTCTCCATGACGCACGAGGTGAGAACAGAGCTGAACTGCCCTGATGGCTGGCAAAGTCCTCAGATGGACACATCATGTGCGGAGGGCACACACTTTGGAGCGCTTTCATGCTTTGCTCATGTAGTGCACTCTTAGGCCTCAATTTAGCATAGTCCTCACGGGTGACCCCTCAAGCGTCAGCAGCCCAGCAGAGCGTCGTCGCACTGCATCACTGCCCAACTGCTGGTATAAGCAGGTAATGGGAGCCCGAAAGGCGCTGCCTGAAATGCGAGGGCCCTGAGCGTCTTGAATTCATTGAACTTCCGAGCAGAGCCTACTATTATGTTTTCGAAAGCCAACAAGTCTGGTTTGATTGCTCGTCCAACAATGTTGAGGCTAAAACCCTTTGGCCCGAGCCTTGGCAGATGGGCTTTGACACAAAAGTGCCATGACATAAATCCTTACCCCTCGAATCTTTAGGCCTCGAGATTCCAGGGCCCAAAGTCAAGGGTGACACTGAGCCGGAGGCGTGGCTTTTAAAGGTTAACACGGCAGCCCACTGCGGCGGGAAGGGCCGGCTTTGAACATGAGTTGGTGGGTTCGGCTTTGTCAGGCTAACAAAGTTGAAGCTGAGGCTGCGACAGTTGGTGGAAAGACAGGGCGCAACTAACTAAAATATGTTGTCTCAGCATCTTGACTCAATGGCATTGCCATGATTAGAGGGTGGCAGCCTACATTTACGATGGAGTCTTGAAGGGATGACTTGAGCTGGCGCATGCAGGCTGCAGAAACTGTGGAAGTTGAAGGGCTTGTGATGAAGTCCATGGAAAGGCTGCGCTGACTTGATTCAATGCACACGTTACTCCCAACCATGTGCCAGGAGAGAACGGCCCAGCAGGAAGCGATAAAATGAGAAGTCCCCCAAAAAGCCCAGCAGGAACGACATGCAATAGAGTAGCCTCAGCATGAGATGTCACCTTATTTCCAGCGATGGTGGGCCTTCGCAATGCTGTTCTGATGTGACGAGTGCCGAGTGCTTCTGATTATGTGCTCAAGTCCCTGAGATTTGCAGTGAGGTCATTTCAGGTCAAGCAATCAACGTATGGATTGTATCAATCAATTGGTTAGTTTCAGGGATTGATTACTCTAGGCCACACTGTCGATTTGCTTCTATTTTGGTTCAATCTTGAAACGCGATCCAAGATTGGCTATACAGCTCGGGCTGTGCCCTGCTCGGGAGACTTGGAGCCATGCCGGAGGAGGAAGAGGAGTATGCGGAGGAGGCTTGGAGTCTTGCTTGTTCCGTGTGTTTGTTGCCAGACAGACATGGTGGCAGCTACTATTGCTTAGGCTTGGGTAACTGCTGCGAGGCTTTTGATGTCTATGAGCCAGCTGCTTTGGGTTTGTGCCAGGAGGAAGAAGAGGAGCTTGAGATGGAGAAGGTTGAGGTCGAGAGACCAAGATTTTTTCATGGGTGTTTGGCTTAGCTTAGTTTTTGTGAGTGCAGCTTGTTAAGAGAGCATATGAATTGCTGGAGGGCAATGAACACCTGGCAGAAGGCTGCATGAGAGTCTCATCATCAGGAAGCATTGAAGCACCACTGCTTACTATAGTTACTATAGATCTTTTAGAATCCTCAGCCCTTCATTCCAAGCGTCCGACACCTACGGCTTTCTGAGGCCTCGAGTGCAACTCTGCACAGATGACAAAGAACAGAAAGCCTGCTCCTCGCTCCAGCCTCAAAGCGAGTCAGGGGACTGGGGGCAACCCACCAGCGCCCATCTGCAGGGAAGACCGACCAGGGAAGACCTTTTCTCAACTTGGCTTGACATACGCCTGCATCAGCCTCAAATCCAGAGAAGATTGCTGCCTAGGCTTTGCTACAACACGGCATGTGATTTGGTTTTTGCAGCGCAGGCCGCATGCATATTGCATCCTGATAAGCATTTTGCTACACCCTGTTAGCATAGCACGGGCAAACACCAACGGTTTCTTGGAGGAAAGTTACATATCTTGCTCCAGGAAACTTTACCGCGCATGCGATGTCTTCATATTTCTTCAACTCTTGGGGCAGGAGACGGTGGTTCTGGCATACTCTGGCGAAGAGCTTGCCCGGGCTCTTGAACACCAAGTAACGCTGCAGGATGTTTATCAAATTACCAGATATAAGCAACACCTTTTCTTGATACTGTAGTCAAACTTCTCGCTTGTCATGTTCTTCTTCGGCCTGGCACGGGACCTGACGAACAACAGTTTGCCAGGCTCCTGCTATCGAACGGCTGTGTGGGGGTGAGGTGACAAACTGCAAGGATGCCGCCTCTTTTTCGAAAGTGACCACATCACCTAAATGTCGATGCCTTAACCTGCCAAGGCCACTTGGAATCCTTAGACTAAGCCTTAGACTATCATTAGTCCTGGGCCAGACTGCTTTCAGGTCGGATAGAGACAGCAACTCCGCCTACATTGGTCACTACCAATGAGGAGTTAGTTCAAATCACTTGGGGGCAGCTGGCCTCCACATGACCCAAATATTCACACCGCTTCGCGGTCAAAGCCGCCCGCACGAAGAGTGTGCGTTTGTCTGTCTCGGTCTGACTCGGTCTGTTTGGCTGGGTCTGTCTGTCTCGGTCTGTCTGTCTCGGTCGGTCTCCACAGGGGCAAGCGCACAGGATATCAATAATGCAGTTTCACTTGGGCAGCCCAACCTACATCACCGATGGATTGCTGATTTTTCATCCGTTTTCAAACAACATCAAACGCACAGCATTTTAGAGCAAAAGTGCAACCCCAAGGCTAAAGCTTAAGCTATGTGCTATTTAACAACTAGTGGTGAGTATGCGAGCCCTTGACAGCGCCTCAGCACCTTCGGTGCGGGCGGAGGGCGGCGGCACTTTTCTAGCAGAGTAGCTCAACCAGTTTGCTTGTCAGAAAGTGTCTTGGACAACTGCACAACTTTTCATGTTTTGGTTCTCAGTTGTGCAGGAGGGCGCAGCTTGGCTCTGCATCATCACGGGTGGTGGTGGCGTGTGACTGCCTTAGCAGTTTGTGGATGATTGGAGGATCATTATGTGGTGCGAAAATGGTCAAAGTTTCTCAACTGTGAACAACCGCCGCGAGAAAGCAGGTGGTCGTCAGATCGTTCGGCATATTATACAGACAGAGATACATTTGACGATTGGGCACCAAAGTCTCAGTTTTGTCCAAGCGCCATTTGATGAGACGATTATCGACAATTCGCACGTCCTTT